CAGGGTGGGCAGCAGCCGTGCAGGGCAGGCAGAGCTGGGCCTCCCCCTGAGGGAGCTGAAGTGGGAGCTGAGCCATCGCACCCACCTCTGCTTGGCTCTGATGGTGGGAAGCTGCTGGACACCAAACCCTCCTCCAGGACCATCTTCTGCCTGCACACGACTGGAGGGATGCTCCTCAGCACCTTGAAACCCCCAGAGACTGCGTGCTGCCCTAAACATGGAACCACCGCCTGGTTTGGGTTGAAGGGACCTCAAAGCTCATCCATCCCCACCCCCTGCCACGGGCAGGGACACCTGCCACTAGAGCAGCTTGCTCCAAGCCCCTGTGTCCAGCCTGGCCTTGAACACTGCCAGGGATGGGGATGGATACAAACAACTATGAAGCACTGGAGGGCAGTGAAGAGACAACCTTCCCTTCAGTGATGGCTCCTGCCTGTGCCTGGTTGAAGGATGTGCTTTGGAAATGGAGTTCAGACCACAAGGCAAAGGTCTTGGGAGCCACCTGAGCACAGCAACCTCAGTGCCACCACTCCAGGGAGGCGCAGTCAAGGACAGACGATGCTCTGCTCGCTAATCGCGGCTCAGGACATATAATCCTTACTTCACACTTTTTCCCAGACAATATCTTTCCACATAATCTTAATGATTCCTGCTGCAATAACAAATAGGCAGCCCTGAGAATAACTTCACACTTCATTGCTCGTGCCAAGAATCTCACCACTTGGCCCTTCTCTGGGTGTTTTCCCTCCAATCCATCTGCACAAACAGAAGTGGGCCAGTTCTGCGCCTCAGGAATGAGGAGATAAAAAGGCAATCATTTATTTTTCCACCAAAGCAAGAAGTATTTTATAGAATTTGCTCAAGTTTTTGTTTCAGGAAATTTCATCATGTCTCCAGGAAAGAAAAAAAGCAAAAAAGCTCCTAATTGGCCTCAGATTTGTCTAAAACTCCCTTTTCATTTGTGTAATCTGAGGAGCTCCAGGTCAGCTCCAGGTCACTGCCGTCGGTGTTGCTTTAGTGCACCTCTGTGGATACCTCCTTTCTGCAGCAGCTTTTCCTTCAGAAGCAGCCCCAGCCTGCTGCCGTAGCAGCCTCTTTCCTTGGCAACCATTTGCATTCCTTTAGCATATGGAAATATTTGTTAAAACACATACCAGTGTTTGCTGCTATAGGTGAAATTCTGCTTCAGAAACGGGGCGAACGCTCCTGGGCTGCCTGGATGCTGTAAAAACCCCAGCAGAAATCCCTCTGCTTTGGACAGAAAGTTGCCATTTCCCATTATCTGGCCTTGGATCTTGCTATCGAAATAAAACGCTGGTGGTTATCAAATTAATGATAATGTTTTGCTTGGGACAGATGTGATTTTGCCACCCTCCCAAGGCTTCCTGCTGTCTTGACGTGCTGGTTTACACAGCTTCAGCTGGGGAGTCCAGGCCAGCCTGGGCTTCGCTTGCTTTGTGTGCTCTACCTCAGCAAAGCCGGGCACTCCAGATCTTTCACCTCAGAAGCCGTTGGGATGTGGTGCTGTGATAGGACACAGGGCGAGGGCTTTTAACTAAAACAGGGGAGATTCAGGCTGGATTTAAGGAAACAAATCCTTACAGTGAGGGAAGTGAAACACTGGCACAGGTTGCCCGGAGAGGTGGTGGATGCTTCATCCCTGCAGGCATTCCAGGCCAGGCTGGATGTGGGTCTGGGCAACCGGATCTAGTTGAAGATGTCCCTGCTCACTGCAGGGGGGTTGGAACTGGATGAGCTTTGCAGGTCCCTTCCAACCCAAACCATTCTGTGATTTGATGATCTTGAAAATGGAGCAAATGCTGACCCTGTGTGTGCTGTGGAAACACAGGGAGGGGGGGTTAAACAAAACTGTGTACCTGAAGAACCGGAGTGTCTGGAACAGATAAAGCCAGAAAGGGTGGGAGAAAGCAAGTATTATTCCTGTTCACTGCTAAGGAGCTGTAGCACAGAGGAAAAGAATGGTTTACATCTTGGATAACGTCTGTAGCTGAATCAACGCAGCCAGCACTGCCTACAGCAAGGCTGTCCTTTGGATGGGGTCATCTTAGGCTGGAGTTACTGGGTGTTTCGGCTGCATACTTGAAGCAAAGGGGATGCATTCTACATGTGCCCCCATGCTGTGGCCATCTGGTTTAGTCACTTCATGCTGCTGGGGTCAAAACCTTGCAAAAACTTGCAAATTCACAAATGAAAAGCCCAAATACCACCACCAATTGGAGGGGAGGCTGGGCAGGCACAGTGAGGGAGAAGATGCTGGTCCCATACATAACACAGCCTTTTAAACGTTCTGATAATGCTGAGGAAGGACAAACGGGCTCTGGGAGAGAAGAGAGAAATGGAGAAGAGCAGGCAGTGTGTTCCTTAGTGTGCCACAGTAACAGCCATGGTAGATCTTCTCAAGCATTGGAAAAGCTCTGGAAATATGGAGCAGCTCCCAGAGCAGGGCACAGCAGTAGCTGGTTAGTGTCATCATTGCAGGCACTCACCAACCACTGGACTAGAGGCTGGGAAAGGACCTTAGAAGGTGGTGATGCTCTGCCAGTTTAATTACAGGCAGGACTTGGAAACAGATTGGTTGCGTTCCCATGGGAGATTTTCGGGTTTTAGGCAAGCCTGCGGTTAAGCAGCACGTGAGGCTGGATCCAGCACGGAGGTATCTGTGTATTTATTCATGGTAAGAGGAGAGCCTGTGCTGCAGTTTGAATCTCTTTCTGGAGATGCACCGGTCCTCGCCTCCTCTCAGCTCCGATTCTGGCTCCCACCAGCAGCCCCTCTGGAAATGGGACACAGGCACCCGTTTGGGAGCATGTGCGCTGTTCACCTTGACAAAACAGTGTCTTTTCACTAGCAGCATCCTTATTGCTGTGTGAAAAGCTGCTGCGTGCCCATGGCCAGTGATGCCTCAGGAGAAAGCTGTTCTGGCCTGAAAGGCTCAAGAGAGGTTGAACTCTGCTTTGCTGAAGATCGCGTTTCAGCAAACGGAAAGGCCAAAAATGCCTGCACTGGTTGCTTGACGGGTTGGAAAGAAAATTGGAACAAAGGGAGAAAAATCATCTATTCAGGGCAAGAGCAGCAACGAAAGCAATACCAGGTTCAGCCCCGCATGACCAGCAAGGCAAACAGAGATGCTGAAGGATGAATTCTCTTTCAAAACCACACTTGTGGGCCTAGTTCACTGTGGAGAGGCACTGCAGCAGGAGGGGTGAGTATAAGCAGAACTCATCTGCACCCTGTGATGAGCACGGTAATGCTGTCACATGTGAGCACATGCTGGCTCATGTGCCCTCCTCACAGCACCACGTGAAGTTACTTTGGGAGATTTCAGTGAGCAGAACGTGGGCCCTCCAGACCCGAGGGAGCAGAGGAAGCATCCATCCTGCTTTATTTCTACTCTCTTCTATTCTTGGCCCTGTTACTGGGCAAGAAAATGGACACGACGCCCTCTTGAGTGTTCCTCTTGGTGTATTTGCTGGGGCATGTGCAGCTGAATCCCCATATACAAACTGTTTTTTTGCTTGTATTTGCCACTTGTGTACTGCCCCTTCTGTGTATTTACTTATCTGAGGTCTATTTACTCTGCATAATCCCTGGGGGAAATATAAAGCCTGCAGGTATTTGCATTCGAAATGTTGCATTTTAGATCTGATGGGGCCCTGTTTAACACAACCGCAGGATGTAAAGGTGTGAACTAAATGCCCTACATTGCTCAGTGACGTGTTGTTGCAATGACAAGTAATACCATCAGCGCAGCAGAGACCTGCCTGGGCTGGTTGCTGTTTTGCTTGTTTTCCCCCTTGTGGTTCCTTTGGATTCCCTGCAGTTGTTTTGGAGTGCACAGTTATTTTGCATGGATGCAAGAAAGAAAGCCAACATAGATACTGTATTTGGCTACTTCACCCTAGAGCAGCCTCATTTCCTGGGGAAGATGCCTCAGAGCAGACTTAGAGAAGAACTTCCCTACAATTTTCTCTCTTCTGTGTTGTATTTTGCTTATTTTCCAGTTGCTGTTAATCTGGAACGTACCTGTCTCAATAATAGTGGGTCAGGGTTCTCCGTGTGCTTTGGTAGCTTTCTAAAGCCTTTTACTAAGTCTGGCATTATCCTTGGCATGAACTCTGCCATGACACCATTTCAGACAGCAGGCAAAGCAGTGGGGCTCCAACCATGGGAAAGAGCTCGAGCTGGGGCTGAGTTTCCAGCAGGATAAGGGCTGGAGCTCCCCTCATTCCGAGCTGCGGGCTCTGGTTCAGTTCAGATACTCATCTGCTTGCTCATGACTTCACATGAATCATTTCACTCGGCCACAACAGGACCTTGATCTTGCTTAGGGGCCCTTATTCCACAGCCACATACAAAGGAAAACTTCGTAGCTATTATTTCAGGGCTTAAGTTCTCTCTCTCACGACCAGACACATGGCCTAATATCTGCTGGCAAGCTGGGAATACAAAATGAAACACCATTATATATGATCTATTTACAGCTGTATATGTGCTGGTGCTGATCCATCTGTGTTTCAGGCTATGTGCCATTTGGGGTATAGTGGGAGGGAAGCCCACTTAGAAAGCAAGCTTGCAGAGCAGTGTGTTTCTATTGATATCATAGATAAGATCTTTTGCCCCCAGGGTCTCATTTTCTCCTGTGTCTGATGAGCACTGTGAGACAATAGCAAGCCTGAAGCCAGGTTATTAGCTTTGAATGGTTAGTTCCATCAGAGCTGAGCCCTCATGTAGGGACCCAGTTGGCTGCGGGGGGTTCAAAGGGGCTCTGTATGTCTGGTAACACATGCTTTAGAAAACCTGAGCTGTGTATGGGGCTGAACTTCAGCAAAGCTTTCAGAAGTTGTGCCCCAGCTGTGGTTGCTGAGAGGTCTGAGCCCTGCATGGTGACAAAGCCAAGCGTCCTTCCAGGGAGCGTGAACCCCTTGTACCCAGCTGGTTTTCTGGTGAGCATATTGCGGTTTGCTTGCACCTTGTGCTCCATCCGCACCATGTTTGGCCATATTAAGCAAATAATAGAACTGGTAAAGATGCCAGTAACAAATTCCATATTTTTTGTGTTGATGAGTTTCCTGCAAATCCCCATTTTTGAGAGTCTCTTAGTCAGAACTGGCTGAACCCTGCTTGCAAATGGATTGCAGCTTGCAGAGTGTCAGTGAGTTATTTGCCGTGACCAGCCTTTGGCTATTTACTGTGAGCTCTGCAGCGTGAGTGATTAATCATGTACGTTGGGTGCTTGTGTGTTGTTTTGCTTTTTCACTCCGTGTCCGGATAACTGAAACAAGAGGAGTGAAATGAGGAAATTCGAGTTGCCACATGAAGACTTCCAGTGTGACTGCTAGAGCCAACGCACATTCATGTGAGGGCTGGCGAGACTTTCACTTCTTCCACTACCTCTGTGACATTTTGGCAATTCTTGAGCCCATTGCTGAGGTTTTAACTTGTCCCATGTGACAAACCCCAAATATGCTGGGCCATGCTCCTTCTCAGTTACTGCAGTGATACAACAGGCATCCAGATGATATTCCTCCTTAAGGAAAAATCAACATTATTTTGTGCAGGAACCTTATGGCCTGGACATGTGTCCTTTTTGCCCAGCCAGTGCTGCGCTGCGGTGGGAGAAGAGCATCAGCATCCATGTGAACAAGGAGGCCGTCAGAGTTCAAGGTCAATGAGGACAGGGTGCTAAGGCAAGTTTCATTTCAGCTTGTTCTGAGAAGTTCAAGGTCACCTGTGCCAAACCAGTGGGCTTTAGTTCTCCATCTTTGAGGAGGGGTCAGCACAAATCCAGCCTCATTCCCAATAATAAAATCCCCAGTGGCAGCAGGACCACGCTGGTTTGGAAGTGTATGTGGTGTTATACGGGCTGACAGCATGAGGACTCTCCTGCTTGTCCCAGTCACATACAGGCTGGTGCCTGCTCTGCCTTGGCTCAGTTTGAGTGAGCAGAGGGGCTTGTCAAACAGGAAGATTTGGGCACTAGGTAGGGACTACTTTGAACACAAATGTTACTTGTGCATACAATATGAAAACTACTGATTTAAAGCATGGGTGCAGTGGCCTCAAGCCCATAGGTTGGGTAAAACTGGTAGGCATATACAGCTGAAGTTGCTTTTGCTCTCTTTGGATTTATATTCCCTGTATAATCAGGTTGTATTACCTATGTGTATAACTGTTCATTACCTAGTCCTTCTTAGCAGCATCACAGAACCTATGGTTGTAAATAGCTGGTAAGCACCTTCAAAAAAGAACTGAACCTGTTCCAATGCACACCCTCCAGCTTTGCCTAGGAATAAAGATTCCCTGCCTCCTGGAGGAGATGGGGGAGTTTGTCTTCTTTTTAAACTCATAGGCAAAGATATTGAAAAATGCCACATGATTTTGGAAACCACAGTGGTTGAAGATTACTGTAGAGGCACTGTTAAACTATTTCGCAAGCCAAGGTATTGCATTGCAAGCAACTCAGATCATACTGCAACATCAGAATGTTTCAAATGGTAAGTTGTTTTTGACATTTTCACTCATGGTATCTTCTATTACCTTCTTGTACTTTCATTCACAGAAAAAAGACCTCTGATCCTGGGCAGCAACTACAAAAGAGAAGACAGAAGGAGACAGCCAGTGCTTTGGCAAGCCGGGAACCCATATGCAAGGCAAAGAGAGTAAGAAAAGGAGCAGAGATGCTGGCACATGCAAGTTCATCTAATTGCCCTGGTACATTCAGTTTATACCCGGACCTTTGACCACTTTTGTAAACTAGGTTGGTTTGTTGCACACTGTCATTGCACAGCTGTTATTGCATGGGGGTTGGTTTTAAGCTTTCTTCTTTCTAACATTTGTAATGCTCTGTCTTGACTTTTGAATGATCAGGAAGATTTGGACTACTTGTCTGGGTTTTTTCCTTGATAGGGAGGAAGAGTGGAGTCTATTTTCAAAATCTCATAAGTTATTTACACCCTTGGACAGGATTTGGATGGCAAAGCTGACGCTAATAGCAGGTGCAGATCTATTTTGAGAGCTACAGCAAGATCAGCACTGTCTCTCAGCATCTCCAGCCAACATCAGTTGATTCTCTGCCCAAAGCATCCCATGACACTGCGATTCAGAGTCCTAACTCTTCTGCAGCACAAAATGGGGCCCCACTGCAGAGAACATGAGCTTGGCACGCCACTTGGAAATGATTTCTCTCCCATGTATCCAGCCACCTGGCTCGGCTGTCGATGAAGTAGGTTGTTCTCTTAGCTTGTTTTTGGTGCCAATCCAAGTGGGGTCATTTGGCTGACAAAGGGAATGAAGGGGGTCCATGTTTCCTTATTGCACTTGAAAGGAGTGGCTGGTGTTATGGCAGGCCAGGCACATCTGTCCTCACCAGTGAAGGCACTCACTCACTTGTAAAGAGCATGTGAGTGCAGATAACACACCCAAGCGTCCTGTCCCTGCAGCACGCCTCTTTGGGAGCTTTCAAATAAAGCTGCCTTCAAACTTTTACAGGGAAATGCAGAATTCCAAAGGAAGCAGAAAGTCTTAGAGTTTTTCTTCAAAATGAACTAGAATTTCATAGCTTACTGGTATCTTTTTGTCTAGTACTGCTCCAGTGTGTTATCATGTTGGCTTCTGCATATCCATTGCCATTGTTAGCTCTCATGTCCTCAAGAACGTAAGTCCTTCTTTTGGGAAATGGGCTTTCTTTGTTAACTTGCTTTCTCCCTTTTGGCTTGGCTGTGAAATGGTATCAGAAAATCACACACACAAAAAAGTTCTTTTAAAAATTCATTTGTTGCCTGAAGTAAGGAGTTCAGTGGCATTGCTGCTGAAACGGAAAGGGCAGATACCTGTGGAAACATACCGTGACTATTTAAAGCAGCTAGTGAAATGTGAATGTTTACCAGGATAAACCATTTTGCAGTGCTTTAGTTTCTCCAGTCTGGCCCCAAAGACAACCAGAAATAGAGCAAAATATGAAATTATAAATGTATTCTCTGGGTAAGTATAAAGAATAAAATTGGCAAGATGAAATCTGGCACCTCCAAGGAATATATTCTATCCCTTGTCTAATTCCAATGATTTGTATTAAGCAAAGTTCCTTATTTTGGGGATTGCACAACTTTTGTCGTGTTGCATGCAATTACCTTTTACTGCCTAGACAAACTGTCAGAGCATTAACCTGAGATTTTCCATGTAACGTTCCAGATGCACATCCACCTTGAAAGGCCCATAATTCAGCTTATTTATAGCTGAATAAAAAACAATGCCGCCAAATAGAAGTCAAAGTTCAGAGGGATTGGCTAGTACAGCATTTTAAAGCCTAGTTCTCAGCAGGTTACAGGGCTGGAGAGAGGCCATAATAGGATATTGAAATGTTTTTCTTTTTTAGACTTGGCAATAAATTCCTTGACATCCCGTTATAATTTTATGAGCTGGTTGAGACTGTCATATTCCATTAGCTCCTGACAAGCCTCCATGCAGGGAGGAGCACAAGCCTGTGTCTGTTGGTCACCTATGTGAAATGCTGGAGATAAGCAGGTAAGGTTTTGACTTATCTGCTCTGTAGAAAGACATAATGAACTGGCCAGCTGGTGGGGCATTTTAGTGCCACAGGGGGTTAGATCAGATGTTTGGAAAGCTTGGTCTGAATCTTGCCACTGCCAGTTTGCACACGGAAACACAGTTGTGGAAGCCAAAACCAAAGCAGTGAATATGTGAGCAGGAGCTTGCTGTCCAGGATACCTCAGTTGTCTCACTGGTGGACTCCAATCACTTGATATTGCAGCCCACGGTGATCTGTAAACAGACCCACTGCAATATCTCACCTGTTTGGACTGATTCTGCATCTGCTTGGTTGCAAAAGCATTAGCAGCCAACCTCCCGTGTCTTCTCTGAGTGTTTTATGTGCTGCTTCCCTTCACGCAAAGTAAACAAGTAAATGGACTTTTCTATGTGGTAGTTGTATGCATAACAAAAATGCAAATACAACCTGTCTGTTTCTTTTTCCCAATGAACTGCAAAATCAACACACACAAATATGTTTATATGAGCAGGCCAGAAAAACAGCTGGTTCATCAAATAAAAAGGGGCACGCTTGGCTCTGCTAGGCCAAGTGTTCAGCTGCATCCCATGTATTTATAAAGTGAGAAAGTAGAGCATATTTGAAAATGCAGGTGGATAAATATTTCTGCCAGACCTGCTGGAGTATTTGAAGTCTCCCTCAAGCCGCTGCTCTGACTCACCACTTTCCGGGATGATGGGAATGCTGCCTGTGGGCAGCAGCTCTCCAGATCCTGGAGACAACCTCAGCCATAGCCATGAGGCAGCATTGCCTGAAGGGGGCTTTGCTTGGGGAGCCCTGGAGGACACCCCTAGGTCTGCCCTCATCCTGCAGCATGATGGATGGATGGATGTGGGGCCAAGTGACGGCTGGGTGGGAGCTTCATCAAGATTGACTCTGCAGAGCTTGGGGCAGATGTGGAGCTGACCGCTTGTTTCCTTGGCCTGCCATCCATGGAAGAAGGCTGCAGCTGAACTGCCAACATGGAAAAACTGTCTCAGGTTAAGTCTGAACTTCAAAGGCAGTCATTATATTTAATGTTACAAGCCCCCTAATAATCCTGAGGAGGGAAAGCAGAGCAACAACGCTGGCACATGGACACAAACTGCCGACGCAGTGCAAATATTATATTAGATACTTCCAGCTATGACTTCCTCTGGGGTGCTGTCACTGCTGCACATGGAAAAGTAAACCTTTCATAATAAAACACATGAAGATATACACACATGCCCAAGCACACACCTGCACGGCCAGAACCCAGCAGTTGCAGAAGGCAGGCTTCCTCAGCAAAGCCCATGTAAGATCTCTGTCCTTATAGAGTAAAGCTACGGTTTATCTAAGGCACGGTCAGCCAACACAGGCTAATATGCTTATACAAAGTAAGTTTTCCAATATTTTGTCTCTTTTTCAGTATTCAGCTAGAGTGTGCACCACTAAACAAAATTATTAATAGCTTTTTCTCAGTTACAGCCTTATTTTGTTAAATGGGCCTTCTATGTGGAAAGTTTGACCAAGTAATGAAGAACTTCAGAGCCAAAGTGACAGAAAGAAGTATCAGATCTGTGGCAGAATTTAAAATCATGGTGATGCTTAATAGCCTGAAGCTCCAAGGCCAGGGGAGCACTGTCAGACAAGCAGAACTGACTTTGTCTTCGAAGAACATCTGGCAATTTTTGTGCCCAGCTAAACAGAGGAAGAAGCACAGAGGAAGAACAAGAACCCACAAGCTGGTTGTAATAGTAATGCTATTCTACAGTTAAAAACATTTTCAGCTACAAAACTGGTGAGGAACATTCATGCCAGCACTAGAAGTGTTACATTGACCAAGCTTTGGTGTCAGTTTTACTTCAGGAGCCCCGTGAGCATTGCCTGCCTCTGCCAGTTTGGTGATTGCACTACCTTAATCCTGTTACTGAAAGGCCAATCTTGGCCTTTTCTGATATTCCCGAGTGTAAAATGAAGCATTGCAAGGACGCAAACACGTCCTGGCTGAAAGCCTGAGAGCGATCTTCAGCTTTGAACAAAAATAATGTTGAAGACATGATCAGGCTCTATGGAAAACTATGGCACAACTCCTGCTTCTTTCAGAAGCAGTGCCCATGGGATTTAGGCTACACAGTCTGTAAACTGCTCTAAATCAGACTGAACACCGATTTAGAGATTTGAGAACACTGTTTCTTTAGCTCATGGTGCAGGAGCTCCCTAGTGCGAACAAAATTCAGCTGGGATGAAGGAAGCCAGGAATTTTACCTTGTTATACATGTGAGCTAAAGAAATCACCCCTGACTGTTATACAATTAGAATTGCCTATCTTAGCATTTATTTTCATTACTATTAGAACTTTCTAATTTTGGTAAACTCCATGGAAGAGCTCATCCAACTTCACTGACTCTCAACAATGGCAAAATAACCCCGACATGGACCTGTTCCCGTAAGTGCTGCCAGTTGTGCCTCTCCCTCGCTCATCATGACGCTGATGAAAGCCACTAGATGTCACTGCTATATTGCACTAATAAAGTTACAATAATATTTTTCTGGCAATAAATGTCCTGACTCATAAGGAAGCTGTGTTATAAAAGCCGTGGATAGTTTGGATTCCTTCCAGTTCAAAAACAAAACAAACCTTTTTTTTTTCTTTTTTTTTACTAAAAATATTGGATCCAAGTTCAAAACAGTCGTTTAACAAATAACGTTGAGTTGTATTTTAAAGGCAAAAAGACTTTGAAGTTAATACCAAGTAAAGAAACATGGTCTGTGGCTCTGTGGACTAAGCTGATGGGAAAAAATTATATCTGAAGGTCTACAGTGCTAAAGACGAGGCTTGACTAAATGCAGGGTTGGGGACGTTCAGGAATACTCATATTCTCTTGCTCAACCAGAAAGCGAGGCAAAAGGCCAGTGAAATAATAGTAATAGCAGTAATAATATTGTATATTTATATGTTGCCTTTCATCTCCCAGGTTTCCCCACTGCAGTGTCTAGCTGACTGCAGATACAATAATCACTTCACTCAGCACCGCACAGGAACCACCCTTGGCAAGGCCATGGCGGCTGTCAAGCAGCACATCAGGAATTGCTGCTTCAGTTCAACACATCATGAGGGCATTTGTGCAGCAGGTAAAGTGTATTTTAATGGGCCAGCTCTGTATTTGCTTGTATTGCTGGGGCTAGTTCCGGCCCTCTCATACCTGGGATGGTGTTTTGGCTTTTTTGTGTGTTTGAAGACTCTAGTTATTGAAAAATTGGCAGGTGAGCTCAGCTTGCCTGGGAAGAAATTTACTGTGTCTCAAATGGCCACCTGGTTATCCATTTCTGTTACCTAAGTGAACACTTGCATTTTTCTTTTGATGTCATCTAGGCAAGAACCAGCCAGATCTGACTTATGCTGCTGCAGGTGATGAACGTGCTGAATTCTTGGTGGCAGAAGATGTAGAGAATGTTAAATTCTCATAAGAAAATATTCACCTGAGGTAGGGCCTGCTTCCTCTGTTGAGGGAAGTTCTTTTGAGAGTGAGATGAGCTCTTAGGCAGAAGCTCTTCCCTGTGAGGGTGCAGAGGCGCTGGCACAGGGTGCCCAGAGAAGCTGTGGCTGCCCCATCCCTGGCAGTGTTCAAGGCCAGGTTGGACACAGGGGCTTGGAGCAAGCTGCTCTAGGGGAAGGTGTCCCTGCCCGTGGCAGGGGTTGGAACTGGATGAGCTTCAAGGTCCCTTCCAACACAAACCAGGCTGGGATTCTATGAAAATGCAAGGTTCTTTTGAGATGGGAGGGGAGGGGAGGAGAGGGAGGTGAAACCTTTGCCTTTTGCCTACCAGTAAGTGGTCTGGACACCTTCACACACTTCGGAATGGATGTGGGGATCTGAAGAGGGCAGCCATTTCTGGCAGAGCAGGAGCCTGTCTCCACCCATTCTTGATGTTTTTTGATCACAGTAGAATTAGCTGAAGTTAATGGTATTTTACAGAGGAGCATTTTACACTGAGGGACTCAGCACAGCTGCAGCCTGGAGTGGAGCCCCAGTCCATGTGCCTGGGTGTGTCATGCTGCACAACGTAAGGGGCTCTCATGGGCTTTCTGCTCACAGTAAACAGTGCTGGTCTGTGTGTCCTTTGCCCCCAGAGGTGGGGAAGAACCCTTCTGTACTGCTGCATGCTCATGATCACTGAGGGAAAGCAATGAGGTTCCTTAGTCTGTGTTCTCTGTGTAACATGGGTGGGCTACAGTGTAAAATGAGTGTAAACTATGCTCTGGCTTTTGTCGACACAGGAGGAGCCAGTTAACTGATCTGGAACTAGCATCAAAGGTAGGTGAGATGTTTTTTGAAGTGGCTGGAGGTGACCTGGCCACAATGCCTAAGAAAAAGCCCACTACTCATCAGCTTTGCAGGAGAAGTGCTTACTGTGTGCCTGCTCTTCCCCAGTGATGCCTGTTTTATAATGTGAGTTAGGATAGCTGAAACGGATAAATCTATGGTTTGGGAAGCACTTTGGGACTAAGGGTGCTGTATCAATGGAGGGATCTATTAAATACTTGGTATCCAGCATGAAACTAATCCAAAGACATATACTGTAACTATAACTGGAGGGAAAGCTAATGAGCCTCTCTCCTGATGGGTAGTGCTACAGAGTTTGTATGTTCTAGGTCTAGGTAAACTCCCAAATGGAGAAGGAATGAGACGGAGAAACAAGGCAAAGGCAGGAATAACTCACTTCCCTGGCTCAGGTTACTGACAAAGGCATGAAAGCCTCAGCCTGTAGTATAAATTATGACCTATCAACTCAACCAGTCATAATAAGAAAGGAGGAATCAGATGAGTAAGGCAATAGGGGAAAAGCAAATACTGTGAGTAATGGCAACAAGAGGTTAGTTCCCTAGAAGTTGTCTAACCACATTAGATAGCACAGCTTAGTGACTGAGTCTGGGCCCAGTGTCTAGAGAATAAATCAAATGGGTTTTTTGTTGTTGATAAAACATTTTCTCCACAGCAGATGGATTTAATATTTCCTGGATCCATACTGTTCAAGACTTGGAGTGGGGATCCTTTTCCAGGGTTGCATTATTGATGGCTTCGTTTCCAAGGGATGCAAACTCAGAATTCTCCTAGGACTAGTTGCTATAAACTGTTAAGTGAGGATTTTTGTCTCTTTCTTCTTCATTTCCTCCCTCTGTTGACTAAAGCGTTTGCTCCTGATCCACTTTGCTTCTCCAGGACCAGTTAATTTCTCCCACTCTCACTTGTACTTGCTTCTCTCCCCTGCTCCTCCTTCACTGCCACTTCCACACCTTTCAGCTGTTCAGGTTGTGGGGACTAGCCTAGATTCTGCTAGGCTGACAGTGGTAGCCGGCAGTGCACCCCTGAGCTCCCCTCACTCACTGTGCCAGCTCTCCCCCTCTCCAACTATCACCTAAGTTACTCTTTGCCCAGAGCAGTGTGAATGGTGGAGCATTCCTGAAGTGCAGTGCAAGGAAGCAGAATGACTCTGAAGGGCGATGTTCTCTCAGCTGCACGGCAAAGCTGAAGTGCATTGCCATCTCCTATGACACAGGTTATTATTATTCCTTTGAAGTGACCTTCAAGGGTATTTTTCTGAAAGGAATTGCTCCTCAGCTCCATCTAAACCTCCCCTGGTGCAGCTCGAGGCTGTTTCCTCTTGTCCCATCCTTTGTTCCTTGGAAGCAGAGACCAGCCCCCTCCTGGCTCCATCCTCCTGTCAGGCAGTTGTAGGGAGAGATAAGGTCCCCCCTGAGCCTTCTCTTCTCCAGATTAACCCCCCTCCCCCACATCCCTCAGCTGTTCCTCATCAGACTTGTGCTCCCTTCACCAGTTTGTTGTCCTCTTCTCGACCAGTATCTCAATGTCACTCTTGTAGTGAGGGGCCCAGAACTGAACAGGATTTGAGCTGCGGCCTCACCAGTGCCCAATACAGGGGGATGATCACTACCCGGGTCCTGCTGGCTGCACTAGTGCTGATACAGGCCAGGAAGTTACTGGCCTTCTTGGCTGCCCAGGCACAACCTGCTCATGTTCAGCTCCATCAATCAGCACCTTTTCCACTGAGCAGCTTTCCAGCCACTCTCCCTTTAGTCTTGCGTGGGGTTGTTGTGGCTCAAGTGCGGGACCCAGCGCTTTGCCTTGTTGAACCTCATATCACTGGCCACAGCCCTTCGATCCAGCCTGTACTTCCCAAAATAAGACTCTTTAAACTAGGTTCTGTGTATAAATACATCCAGCTGCCACAAGACAATGTAAATTCGTAGGTAGCAAGTGGTATGAAACAGGACATTGCCAGCTGCTTCAGTTGTGTTGTGTGATCTGACCAGGCCTCTTGAATGGAAGAGATGTAATGCATCTGGGCTAACCCACCACCAAAATGCTTCTTCACACATGCATTTTTATTCTGCCATACTTCATCTTTCAGCTTTGTCACATGATACTGGATTTGCAAGAGACTCGAGCCACAAAACCTTCCAGTCCCCTAAATACCTTGTGGGGAGCTCTCCTGTACTGTCAGGCTGTCAATTTGGTCTTCTTGCTGACAAGTTTACAGTCTAACCAAACCTGAAGTTTGATTGTCTGGGTCAAAGAAGGTTGTTTGGCACGTCTGGGTGTAGACATACAGTAGACCAGCCACTACAGAACTCTAGCAGTATACATACATAAATACATATATATATATATATACATATTTGTCATCAAATAGACAATAGTTGCTGTAGGACATATATTATGCCCTCAATGAGGCAAAGTTTGGATTATATTATTTTCATTAAAAAATTTATATGATTAAAAATCAAAATTTCCTACCCTGCTTTTTGCTGTCCTTCACCTATATGAAGGGGGTCACTGCAACATTACTTGAGTAACAGAAAAATTTAGCTGTTAGTGACTAGAGGTTTCTTGGGTTTATTTATTTTCCTTTCTCTTTTTAACTAATTCAGTATGAGTAGCTGAATTTAATTTCTTACTCAGCCTGTAAATCCTTCCTCTTTGTCTATCTCCAGCCCATACCCTCTTACTTCAGCACTTCCTGCAAGGTATATGTGGTGCTCACAAGACAGTATTATTCCACAATGACTAAGTTGTCCTGAAGTGTGTTATGGTTTAATAACAACAGGAATTGGGTTTGCTGCTACCAAAACCATTTTATTATGACACATCCAGAGACATAAAACCCTCTTGTGCAATAATAAGGGGAAAAAGATCTTTCCATCCACTTGCACAAAAGAAGCCTCAAGAGATTAGTGCTATAATAAGAAGAAAACAAACATGATTCAGGTTAGAAAAATGTAGCTAATATGTCTAAAGGAAACTGCAAGTACTTAATCAGACAGAGGGATTTGGGAAGCAGTATTATTGGACATGACCTGTGAGTTATAGGGAGACAGCGTATCAGATATTAAATAGATACTTATGCCTTTTGCTGTGACGTTACTAGCATCATGGGATTTGGGATGCTGTGTTCAGTTGTGTGTGTCCCAATTGGATGCAATGTATCAGTGAGTTGGTGGGGATGAAGTAGCCATGAAAATAATCAGGTGAGGGAGACAAAAAATTGGGGGGAAATAATTAAAAGTGAAGCAAGTATTGGGACTTTGACTAAGTGATGGCACAAGGAAGGGACAAGGAGTTTAAATACATGAAAGCTCTAAGTGGGAAGAGGAATCACACAATGAAACACATGAGATGGGATCTCAAGGGAAAGAGGAAGGAAAATTTTAGGTCAACCAGCAAGAGAGGACTGTGCAAGACTCGTAACAGCTAAGCCAGCCTTTCATTTTATTTAAAGTAAATTCATGAAAGTAATAGGAAATACCAGACTAAACAACTTGAATGTGAAGAAGGGCGAGGAAATGAAAAATGAGGTCTTTTGCATCTCTAACTTTAAGGCTGATTCAGTCTCATCTCACTAATGTACTTTGGGGTTATCTTGCCTAAACCTGAATGGATCAAGTGGTTGGGTCAAGTGAGGCTTATCTGAGTTCTCTCGTAGAAGTGTTGTGAACTTTTTAATTGGGGCAGATAAGGGGTTGTTGCCTCTGGAAAGCTTCCTTTTCATTCAGAAGTTTGAAACAGAGGGTATAACCTCCTCTCCTCATCAGTCCTCCCAGTCTTAGGCAACTAAGAGCTCAGGGCTACTGCTGATACTGAGTTACCGTATTTAGCTAACCAAGGAAAAAGTGTAATGTGCAGTTACAAATGTGAGTGCAGTGTTCTGGTGCTGCTCTCACTAGAGAAAAGAATGAAAAGACAATCTAAAGTTACATAGCACTGATAAGTTAATGGAATCTTTCCAGACCTTACAGTGAAAGGTTCGCTTTGGTTCACATCTTATTTTCTCCAGCCTATTTGCTCAGCTTTCCATAAGGCAGCAGATAAAAAATGGAAGTGCTAACACTTGGGAGGTTGGTTGTGACTTCTGTTTCACCTGAGTAGGAAACCCAGAGATATACAACCAGAAGTTTTGAAGACCCTACAGTCCACAGGAACTGAGCCACATGACCTGCAAGTGTCCTGCTCAGTGGCTCTCGTACAGGCCGACAGCAGAGCAGACAGGAAGTGAGAGTTTACTGAGAAACAACACAACCCATGGAGACACAGGGTGCCAACCTGCATTCCTGACATAGCCGTGTTTGAGCCATAGGCAACTGCCAATGGCTCTCTGGGCAAGCCAGGCCAAACAAAAAGTTCCTCTTGGATGTTAAAATTAGAAATAAGATATTACTCAGTTGGACATCACAATACTAGCAGTTGCTCACACTTGCTTGGAATTGTTCTAACAGGTTCAGGATTAATTTTCTTCCCTCCTTTCCGGAGGCTGCAGATACATAACCCTCTTGTGACCTGTCACAACTCTCTTTGAAAGAGAGTGATATTGCACAGTGCAGAGTCTGTAACTATGATACATCAACGCCTTGTTTTCCTGGACTTTGTAAGAAACAAGAGTTAGTTCTGTTTTTACATAAAAGCCTTTTAACAGTACTTCGATGATGAACTGAACCTCTTAGGTAGCTGGGTCTGTATCTGTCTGGGGACAGGGATGAAAAGAGCGAGCACGAGGAGCCTGGTGGAAACCAGTCAGCAGAGTTTGGCGTCCTGTGCAACACAAATACATGACTTGGAGAAGACTAACTTTCCTTAGCGCAATGAAAATGTCCTCTGCATGAATGAGAATCACCTCTGGCCTCACCTGCAAGACTTGGAGCAGAGGCAGATGGATGAGCAGGCATACACCCATAGAGTGCCTGCTACTTTGTTTTGTTTTCTCACTCTACCTTGGTTTCAGGGTTCATTTCTCTAGCATT